TCCTAATAGATTATCTTGAAAAGGGAAAAACAATAAATTTCGAGTATTACAGCGACTTACTGGACCAGTTTAAGCAGAATATAAGCGAAAAACGTCCTGGTTTGGCAAAAAAGAAAATTCTGTTTCATCAGGACAATGCACCTTGCCGTTCTTGTAATGGCTAAAATTCATCTATTAAACCATCCTCCGTATACGCCAGACCTAGCTCCGTCAGACTTTTATTTGTTTTCAAACCTAAAAAAATTTCTTGCTGGCAAAAATTTTTCCACGGATTTAGAAGTAATTGCAGCCACAAACGCATATTTTGACGAGTTGGATAAATCAGACTACAGTGACGGTATTAAATCGCTTGAACATCGTTCTTATTCAGTCACCATTGTGTTGCGTTCTATGTTAGGCCGGAAACTTTTCATCCCATCCTCGTATATTACAGGTTAAATTATGTTGAGATTCTGTAATCTTTGTAACTCATCTTCTACCTTGTTCAAAACTGCAAATGCACTTGATCTTCTCGGACAAAAAACAGGTTTTGCATTTTCTTATATAGCCATTTTTCAAAGAAGGACATCTTATGTGTTTAAATAGTTTCTTAGGATTATAGCTACTAGTTATATATTCTTCTTATTCTCTTCTTGATTTAGCAATAAAATTGCTTAGCTTAAAATTTTGTTGGATAAATGTCTATGATTAACAGAAACAGCATATATCTTTTGGTTGTTTTGAATTTGATGTTTGATAAAGGTTAAAAGTTGTCCATTGGTCCAAGGATTTAATTAATTTTGTTTCTTGTATTGGCTTCAATAATTTGAGATATCTTAGTATGAAATAGTATCCACATCTTCTACTAATACAGTAATTCTAATCAATTTCCAACATTTAACAACAAATTATTTTCTGATGAGTTTACTATTAATAAAAATAAATGCGTGTTCCTAGATTTTATAAACAGCCTGTCTGTAAATATTAATAACGCGGTTTTAAACCTTATAAACTGACTACATTCTCTCAAACGCATTTCAATAAAAAACCGATTTTCCGCACCGAGCGCAAATTTCCCCAATACCTCGCAGAAAATTAATTTTGTTGACCCAAAAAATTATAACGCTCTTGCAAACGAACGGCTAATCCGCAAAATTGTGGAAGTTAAATCGTAAGGGGGGGTTTCACCATGGATTTTGTTGCATTAGCTCTACAGTGGATCCAATTATAATTTTTAATCCCTTCTGGGACCGAATGCGCTCGGTAGTGTTTGCTCTTTGAATCCGCTGGGATTCCAATTTCGAGCCCTTCGTGAACTAGTTTCCTGCTGTAAAATTGTCTAGTTTGAATTAAGATTTGTTGCAGCATAGTTGAAGGTAGTGTGTCTTGTTTTTCTTCCGATTTGAGTAAATTTACAAATAGAACCTTTTCAAAAGGATTTTTTAAATTGAATTTACCCTTTACGAGTATATTAAATTTATACCGGGTGACCGTAAGTAATTGTATTTTTTATAGGTTGAAAACGAATTTCAACAAATACTTTGGTATATTTGACAAAATTAATGTAGTGTAGTTAGCTTATGAGAGTTTTGCTTTAATATTAGTAGAGGAGCAGTCAAGAAATTGATTATATTTATTGTATATTTCTATTATCATTATTATTTCGAAAATTCGAAAATAAATGTAAAAAATCTCCCTACGAATTATTAAAACCATCCCCGAACCCCAAAGGTGAAAACACATACGGAAATTTGAAAAAAAAGCCTGTCAGTGAGAGGATTCGAACCCAGACATCTTTGTCCTGTACAAAAATGCCCTAATCACTGCATTATCGCGACATTAATTGGAAAAAATGTCGCAGGGCAATCAAAGTTTGCATCATTTTATTATCCGTAAAAAAACACTACACCATCGTATATTATTGTAACCTAAGAAATGAACTTGGTGATTCCACCAAAATTTATAAACTAAAAAAAAAATTATTAAAGTATTAACTACAATTAAAAAAAAAATTGTCTACTACGGTTACACAAGTTTCGGTTGTTCCGGTGTCAACCTTCGGGCCTTCGACGTCGCTCAGACGGCAGCTAGGGGGTGGATAGCTTACAATAATTCCGGAAATAGTAGACAAATGAGTAGGCGCCAACTGGGTCTATATAGTGGCCAAACTATGATCCTATTTCCCCAAAAACCCAGTAAATGAGGAAAGAAATAAAAGACAAACCTCAACTTATGTTCCTTTATAAAGAAAAAAAAATATTTACTAAATATACAAACTAATTACCTAATGGCTTAGGTGATCAAAAAAAAAAATTGGAGGAAATTAAAAGGAAAATTTACACTGTATATGTATATGCATAACCCAAAATAAATTATTAAATCAAAATATGGCACGATTCGTCGTTAGCTTGGTACCAGGCATGACGCATGCGCAAAACATTAATTTCCACCTTAGATAAAAAATAAAATATAAAATAATAGTTAACTTAAATATCGTGCATAACCGTACCTATACTACATCATATATTATAAACTAAACAATACACTTATAATCCTTATAAGCTTATAACCCTCTCCAAATTGGAAGGTGATATCTGCTTAACTTTTAGTTAAGACCAAACTACCCAAAAGAAAATTATTAAACCATGAAATTTTATAATTAAGTATAATTCATACAACTAAATAAAAATAAAATAAACACATAAAAGACTTTAGACACAGAGGTTATTTACTTAAACTCCCAGATTGGAAGAGGTTACTTAATCTCTGCCCCCACACGGGTCTTCTGAGATTGCTTAACTTATAGTTAAGTCTTGTCCATTTAATAATGAATAAATTGAATAAAGTAAAATTATGGCAGTAGCCCTTAATAACTGAAGAATTACAACTTAAACATGGAAGCAGTCCAAGTGTTCTGCGACCCGAAGGATTACTACATCAGCATTAAGTGCTTAAATTAAGTAAAAATTTAAAATATTAATCAATTAAACGATGTAACACTTGACAATACTTAAGTTATGAGTGAAAGAACCCTAGAACATTCTGTGCTCAAAAGTATAAATAATGTTGAGAATACCTTGACAACATTCGATTGAAAGTGAATGTATAGTTCAACAATGCACACGTGAAACCTTCAATATAACGTATAAGAAAAACCTGATAGTAGGGTGTCCTCTTTCACAGCATTCCCATCTTCCTATCCAGAACGAGAATCATCCTTGTAAATCTAGCTACAAGTAAGCTAGGCGGCTAGCATACCAATGTTCTGTGTTCCCTCGATGAAACCGTTGAACTCCGGACGATATAACCCTCTGTGTACAACTGTTGAAATCCTGGGTCAACAACCCCCTGGGTGAAACTGTCGTCTAATCCTGGGCTAACAACCCCCTGTGTGAAACTGTCGACGAATCTTGGGCTAACAAGCCCCTGGGTGAAAATTGTCGACGAATCTTGGGCTAACAGGCCCCTGGGTGAAACCCTTAAAATATTACAAAGAAAAATGTCAATACACATTGACTCAAGTATCCCGAACTATAGGATTACCCAAAAATGTACATAAACTAGAAAATATTCAGCATCTAGGATAAAGAAAAATTACATTGGCTCAACAGTGAGTCATAAACAGTATTATGAGCTCAAATAATTAATATTCTGTTACACCATGCCATAACATAAAAGAAATTGACAGCCACATGGTGCGTAACATAACCAAATATATACAAAACATACCTTTTTCGTAAAGGGTTAACTTGGTAGCCTTCCAAGGATGAGAAACACGTGAGAAGATCCACAGCACAACAATATTCCACACTCCAAATGCTGTGAACGTCCAATTCTTGCGTTAAAATCCTATAATAGATATGGGCTGGACCAATGACCATAGGAATTTACCAATACACTAAAATTCCTCTCAAAATACGAAATGTCCATTTACCCACAATTAACCATGAAGTAGAATCTAAAATCCCCTTTAATTAGGGTAAGCCGATGGGGCTAAATATTAAGAAAATTCTACTTCGACGCAAAATTCGTCCTACTTGTGATTCAACACCCACTGACAGAGACAATACGTCAGCCGTCCAAAAATGGCCGAAATCCCTTTCCGATAAATGACAAGTGGGTTCAGAAATTCATCCTCAAGAATTCCCCACTATATAACTTAAGAGACCATTTACGAAAGGTACCCTAAAAACTATATTTATATACAGTATAACTACATTTGGGAAACTGTTCCCAACAAAAATTAATAAACAGCGATCGCAAAAAAATCCCTCACGACTGAAAATCGCTCATTGTGAAACTACCTTACCTCGAGTTCTGAGCCCGATATTGGAACGTACTACAACCATGACACTTGTCAGTGTTCTGTCGTCAAGTGACGTTTATGTCATTCACTGTCACAATTAAATCCAAACTGACAGCTATAAACAAAAATAAGCAAGGAAAATCTTAAAGAATGGTATCGTAAATAATTAAATACCCAAAGGTGAGACTATAATACATAATATATATAAATTTACAACGAAACTTGGTCTATTTTTAGGAGAACTACTATCCTTTTACTTAGTGGTGAGATGAAATAAATGGTAATAATGATGTCCGAAAGTTAGAATACAGGTGAAATTAGTTAATGACAAAAATAATAGTGATATCATCAATACGATTTTACCCTTTTTTCCGTATTATTAACCAGGTAAGCCAAAACAATTTTATTAATTCGTGGGGCCAAAAATGAACGTTACATTATTAACAAAAATTGGTATGGAATTCTTGTTTTCTCGTCCCTTTTAAGTTTTTTTTTAAAGAATACAAAATTGTCAAATCACAAAATGTTAAAACACTAAAATTTTCCCAAAGATTACTTTTAATATAGAATATTATTATTGATAACGTCTTATTAGTTAAAATTTATAGAAATCGGACAACGTATTAAAGCATTATCGCTGAATATAAACAACAAAAATATTCTGAACCTCTTACCCACTAGATTATTTAAAAACTGTTAATATTCAGACACTTACCCAGTTGTCCAGTTGTTCCCTTCTGTTCTCAAGATATAATTGAAGTTTTGAGCCATGACCATTAGGTTTTCCGAACTCCTTGATAATTTCACGAATTCGATCTTGTTCTTGTTCATTTAGGAGAGGTTTTAATGTCTTTTCGTATTTTCTTAGAGTATTTTCTAGGGGTGGAATCGGAAGCTTGGGTAGCTTATCCTGAAAAAAAAAACGTATGTAACGGTAAATAAAAATTAGTTTTTTACAATTATTAATAAGATATATTAAGAAAGATGGAACAATGAAAATGTTTGTACTCGGCCTCGTTAAAAACAAATTTATAAAACCGACAGATTTCATAGATTCTTCATACCTAATGGCTTGACTTTTTTTGATTATTTAATATGCAATACTCGCATCCATTAACTGCCCTTGTTAAAGTTAAAGTTAAAGGCTATAAAACTGTTATCCCCAACAAGTTTTTCTTAAATACTTTATACCAAACCGTTAAAATTCGCATTATTAAACTACCCCTGCTTTCACAAAGGACGTCTGCATTAAATAACTATCTTTAATAACAATAACAAAATAATTTCGTGACATAATATGCCAATTTAAAATCCAAATAAAGTTTTTAGTTTTAGCTAGGATTAGACCTGGGTTCTCCTATTTGAGCCACAGTTAGTTGTCCTCTCAATAATTATAAGGGCTTTTACCATTTAGCACATCTTTATGTAAGTAATAGGAATGGAATTCTCATAAATATACCATTTTTGTTTCTCCAACTCTATTTAAAAAACAATTGCACAAATGTCGGGCTCAACGAAGTCAGCCCATATTAAATAATCTTTTTTTCTCATACTTTTCATTTTAGTAGTAATAAATTTACCACAAAAGCTATCATTTATGTGCTAGACAAAGCAACAAGTAGATTAGAGCAAGCAGAAATAGTTAACCCAATATTTTGTGATTTAAAAAGAGATTTTAATAGAGAAATAAAATTTTACTTTATAATTTCGATGTATTAAGTGTACAATTAATTCATTTTTACTAAAGCAATTACTAAATATCAGTATGTTTGTAGTAAAAATGTTATTTCTGTAATTTTATCAATAATACCCAGAGTCCCACAGCTATATATCTGGATCCAATTTTAAACTGAAATTCACATGTAGATAATATTTCAATAAAATAGAAGTATATTTGTTGTATGAAATTTATTTACTATGATAATTTTAACAAAATATATTGAGGATATCTCAAGAAGAAGGTGGTCAAGCTGTTGGTCGAAAATAAATATCTTCTAGAAGTATTCAACCTTTTTAGAGCATGACACTCAAACTGAAGCTATTGCCGAGGCTGGTCATTAATTTTTAACCCCCTATAGAGATAGAACAGGAGACACTTTAGATAAATTGCGATTCGATCTATTTTTCAAAGATCTCATTAAATCCAAATTCAACCTGGCATCCCTACCATCAACTTTCAAAGCAGTCCGTGAAATCTAAAATTGTGGTTGATACCAGATGGATCCGCTCCTTTGGGGATGGCAGCCTTCAATGTTTGGTCTTGATCCAGTTTCTATCTCCAAAGAACCAGTCTCTTATCTCCACAGTTTTCTGCAAATTCAACAAGGGTTGTGCATGTGGTTGTAGATGTCATAAGGCTGGAATAAAGTGCTCATTGATTTGTACCAACTGCAAAGGGAACTTCCGTACTAACTCTTTGTAACCAAATAAACTTTACAAACCAAATGTTAACGAAGACCTGGACTTTGTCCGTGTCAGAAATGAGAGAATTTGAGGAGCCGAGTGGCTCAATATCAGCCAAACGTCGATGTCTGTGAAATTTGTGTACGTACCTTATTTTATTTCTATTTTCACCTTAACACCTATTTACCATTGTTCTTATTGTGAAATATAAGTACAAAGCTAGTACAATGGAGTACTATAGTACTATACTTAATTGTAATTACTTAGGTATTGAAGAACTTTAATTTAAACAAAAAGTGTTCATGGATGATGTGGAATGGTCCAACTTTAAAGTGGAATTGTAAGGCCCTCCATAAATTTTGTAAAGACCACTTTATTAATAGATGGATTAGTTTAGACGATATTACCAAAAAGCCGAAGTTAAAACGAAATGTTTTTTTAAATATCTAAAATTTGTTCAACTTTGATGAGCACTAGTATGGAAACTGGTGGTTCAAAATATAGGTGCTTTATCTCATTCAATGCAGCACTTAATGGCCTACAAATTTTAATACAACCACTTTTTCGATATTTAAGCATAAGTCCATCGGAGAAGAAAAAATAAGATATTTATATTGGTCAACAAATGAGGCCATAAAAATAATAAAACCTTTTTGTAGCAATTATTTCCGATTGAGATTTTGAGCCTAGCATATTTAGGTTCTCCCCATCAAGGAATAGTCATTTAGCACAATCTAGGTAAATTTAATGCTGTTTATATATATATGCAGAGTTCACATGTTGAATCGCAACTTACTTGATATTTTTCATATTCGAACCACCTGTACAGATTGACTTATTTTGTATTTTCCTATTTTTCCAAATTAATTATCACTTAAATTATCACAAGAGCTTAAAAAATATCCAGGAATAATTTAAGCTTGCGTGATATTCGGTAAGAAAATTTCACACCATTTCACACCATAATTTGGAAAAAAATTATTAATCCAACCTGACGTTTTAAATTAATTTCACTGCTTGTCAAGTTGGCCAGGGTATTGTTGTTTTTGACATATGTTGATTCATCATTTCTGTTTAATAAGTGTATAGGGAAATATCACGATTTGGTAAAGAAAGTTAACAAGTAATTAGACAAGAAATTTAAAATATAACACCAGATAACACCTGAAAATCAAAATCAAGTGTATGGAAATAGTTTGTTGAACTTTGTGACGAAAAGTTGTATAATACTCATGAGTGTATGAGTGTAGTACAGCTGGCTACTATACTGGAGGACTACGTATTTAATATGAAAAAGAAAATGTTTAAAGATTATAAGGAAAGTGTGGTCAAAGTAATGTGGAACTCTACTGCTAAGCAGTTACAATTAATTTATTACGAAAAATATAAAATAAAATTTAATCCGTTTTCTGATGTGGAATTTGCGACCGCCAGAGCTGTATTATGGAGAGATCCATTAAAAAGAAGTGCTTTAGCCTTAACCAGTGACGAATACAAAAAATTATTGAAATGTAGGATGAAAATACTCCAGATAGATTGCAGCGTAAATTTTTTCACATAAGTTGGCATGGAGAGGGAGGGAAAAATATTCTGCGTGTATCCAATACTTCAAAGAAGAAACTGATAATTTTGGAAACCCAAAAGGTCGGATAGAATATAATCCAATATTCTCTAAAACCACACAAGGAGGTCCTTAAAAAACTGTCGGATAGTAAATGGTTGATTACAAATTTCGACAATCCACAAATGTGCCCGGTTCGTTTGTTTAATAAATTAATGGAAAAAAGGGGAAATCTTATTCAAACCCGCAGATTATTCTTAACACCAAACCTATACTGAAGTCAACCCAATTCGAAAGGATAGTACAAGAATAGCCCAGTTAGTAAGAACATTGTATTTTCATGGTTTAAATTAGCAGCCTCTGATATAGGAATTGACACTAAAAAAGTTAAAATAACCAATCATTCTACAGGAGCAACAGTTGTTTCAAATTTGGTCAAGGAAGGAGTTAGTGAACAACAGCTCATTAAAATTACTTGGAAGTTGAATATCATCATCAGATGATTGATTCCATGAGAAGAATTTCATCAAGTACTAGCAAGTTTAATTACGATCAAAGCACAATGCAAAATAAAACAGAAAGTACCCAGATTCAAACCACCAATTCAAGCCAGCCCACAAATATGTATAATAATTGTGTTTTTAATATTAATAAAACCTATAATAATTAAATGTATTTCGTTATTATTTTGCCTATTAGATTTATCAATAAAGATATTAGTTCTACATGAAATTCTAAGAAAAATCATATATGCTTAAATTCAGATGGGTAGTATTTCAATATATCGCCCTTTGGTAATTTTAAGTCCCTAAAAATGGTAGAAATGTATTTTTTATAAGTAACATGATGTAATTTCACAGAAATTAGTACCATATTTCGTTAAATAAAAAAATTACCACCTTTAGTTACACCAAATGCTAAAACTCAGATGGGTATTAGTTCAGTCTATCGTCCTTTCATAATTTTAGGTCACTAAAGGTTGTAGATATGTATTTTTTGGTAAAGTAATCCATAACACTGCCAATGTAAAAAATATAATATTAACAGGGTTTGTTGCAGTAGGTGGTCTTGATAAATAGGCGGCCATGTTTTTGACACATGAGATTTATATTGATAAACTACATCTTAAATAAAAGAGACCAAAGATATAACATACACTGGTGTTTAACTTGTGCAAATGTTGCCAATTTCTAAAGAAAGGTTAACGGAGTAGGGGAGCTGGGCAGAGACCCGAACTCTGTGACAGGGACCGGACTTTGTTTATTAACATCATAATGAACTATTACATTTATTTAAAATATAATGTTTAATGGAATTTTGTATTATGAAATAAAATTAACGTGATTTTTTTAATATCGAACAGATGCGCGACATTTTATTTAAAGAGACCTTTTATAGAATATTTCGTTAGCGTTTATTTACTACGGACTTTTCAGCAAGAGACTACAGTAAAATGTTGAAATAGAATATTGCTAATAAAGCAAAAAATCTGATGTGTCCAACACATGACTTTCCTATATAGTTATAGGCTTTTTCCGGTTATTTTGTACAACCTATTGTAGCACCTCTATAAACTAAATATTGATATGGTATGTTTTATATGACTTAAATGGAACCATATCTTTATATAATTTAAGAGAATATGAGCGCCAATTATTTATTTTATCTTCCCGGATAGCGTATTCATAGACATAACTTACTATTAACTGACTGGAATATTTTACGAGAAAACTCTTTTATCTCTGGGTAGGGTTCAAACAGTTGTTCGTAGATGGGGCAGCCTGCTTTTTATTTTTAATTTGATTAATAATAAATAATTCTTCAAAATGTATTATTATGATTAAAACAAACCATTACATTATTGTATTTATTTAACTATTAAATAGATTAAATGCTTCTCCTTTTTTTTTTATTTATATAAAAAAAACAATACAAGTAAAAAAAAT